CTGTTTGTATCCCAAACCCTGTTTGTATCCCAATGTCTTGATGCGTGTTAGTTAATTAGTTTAAATGCATCCTAAAAATGAGCGCTTTTTTTTAGTTTTGGGAACTGCAACTAAACAGTAAAACATCTTGCTAATCTGTATCTGGAAATATTGGCTCATAATGGTCTCCGTATATTAAAGCTAACATTAGTCCAGTTTTGTTTAAACACTTTGCAATAGAATTATATTACTTTCTTGCTATTAGGAAGGAAGAATAACTTCTGATTGTATTTCACCTTCTAGTGCTTATTTCAGATATTTTTTTGTACCTATAATCACTGTGAAAACCTTATACTTGGAATTGGTTCATGCAGCAGAAAGTCATTTTCCAGGTCTACTTGAGCACATAAGGATAGAAGACTCCTAATTTATTCTAGGTGTTACAGTGCTGCTTAAGTTGTGTTGCCTTTTATCCGAGTACTTATTTGTTTAAAAAAATCATAACTGACAATGATTGTTGCATTGTGGGTTTAGACAAGCATTAGTACATGTTGCAGCTAGGTATGTAAATACAAGTAAACGATCTTGGTTAGTGACATAAAGCATCACACTTTCGCACAACTGAGAGCCAGCTGTGAGCCATATCTAGGCCATTTGACTGTATGTGGTTCACATAACCTACTCTGATTCAACAGAATCCGAGATTTAATTTGTCTTAAGTTTCTTGCCTTCATGATTAGAAGGTTAACATCACATACATGAAGCAGGTGTAAACTGATGCAGTGCTATCTTGAGTCTACACAACTCCCAGAAGCTTTGTTTTAAGCCTGAACTCTTTGCTTTCCCCCTGGACCCTATTAATATCGGTAGATTACTAACTGTAAATCCTACTGATGTTTAAATATCAGTATTAACTATTTAACTGCTGATTTCTTTAGCAGATGGGATGGGGAAAAGACTGAATCCCACAGCTGGAATGGTGGGGGGAGGGGGAGATTGGGCATTCCTGCCCGGAGGGGAAATACAATGGGAAGAGATTCAGAAAAAGAATAGAGAAATAGAAGAGGAAGTGGAAGAACAGAAAAAGCATTGGTCCTAAAGGTGAACATGTTCTCGGTGAATGAGAAAGTGACAAAGAACTTAAGTAATAAGTAAACTTCTAGTTGCTGCATAAAGGCATTATTCTACCTCTAATCTTTTAGCAATGGGAGTATGGCATGTCAGTGAGTTTTGGTCTGATCCTTAGTAGTATGTAGTTCTGAATTCATACCCTAATACACAGACCATAATTGATTGATTCCATTTTCCCCCTCAACAGAATTGACACCCCATATCTATGGTGAGTTCTAGGGTTTGTATTTAACTTCAATTTAAATTTTGCTCTGTGCCAAAACTGAACTTAACATGGGTTTTAAACAACTCTGTTCAGTTGTGAACAAGAATAGAATTGGATCACTCTTTCATATTGTTGGCTCTGAAGAGCTAACAGAAGTAAAAAGTAGAAAATAGATATAGATATAATGTATTGTTCCTAAAGCAGATATGACTAAATAGTACAAGGAGCAGATAAATCAATATTAAGGTGCCTTGTGTAGTTATTCTAATGATATAATTGTACCTAAAGATAATGTTTGTATATTTAGAGTGAGGAATAACAAAGTCAAAATTTCAGATTAAGCATGAAGGGAAACAGCGGTGTGGTGGGTGTTTTGTTTTAATGTTAGAGTGTGTTAGAAGGTACATGGAATAGACGACATTCAGAGAATCAAGTAACCAATTGAATATTCATGTGGAAAAGGTATTTCAAATGGTGGTAGGTGGAGCAATACTTCCTGTTTGTAGAGAGATTAAAGGGTTGGAGGAGAGACATGAGGTGAGTGGACCAAGTAGAGGAAAATTCTATAAACTAGGAAAGACTTCTACATGTTGAAGTAAAAAGAAGGGTGGAAAGTGGACTGGGGGGGGGGGGTCATGGAAGGAATGGTAATGTGATATGGAATATTTTATTTCTAGGTCACTGGTTTGAACATAGCCCAGCCTACTGTCAGTAGTAACAATTTTCAGTGCAGTTGTTCTGTAGGTAATTTATTTTGTGGTGGTATTTTCAGGGTTCTCACATCCAGTACTGCCGGTCTACCTAGTACCTCGCCAGGGTGCTATGTTATGTAATCATTTTAAAGTGGTGGCGGAAGCAAGTGGGGGGGAGGGGGATTTTTTTTTTATTTGTCCGTGGTAATGCAAAGCTGCGGTGCTAAGGCCGTGTTTATGTTGTGTATGGATTTTTAGACTCTTGTAGTTAGAGAAGTGCAAATCTTTAGGGTAGATATGCTTCCATGATGCAAGTCACGGCTTACAGTTCTACAGCACACTAACATCAGAGTTTCTAAACTGAAGAGCCCATTGTCAAATATTTGTTCTTACATACTTAGACTGTAATCAAGTCACCCCTAAATATTCTCTTTAAGCTAAATAGATTTAACTCCTTGAGTCTGTCATGTACATGGTTTTAATCCTTTAGTCATTCTCCTGGCTCTTGTCTATACCATCTCCATTTTTATCAACATTTTTCTTGAATTATGGACACCTGAACTGGACTCAGTATTCCAACAGTGGTTGAACCAGTGCCAAATAAACGTAAAGTAATTTCTCTGCTTCTACTCAAGATTCCCCTGTTTATGCATGGCAGGATCACATTAGCCCTTGGGGGGCACAGCATTACATTGGGAGCTCATGTTCATCTGATTATCACAACACCCCAATCTTTTTCAGAGTCACTGTTTCCCAGGATAGAATTCCCCCCCCCCCATTATATGACGCTTAGACACTTGGAATTTAAGGGGGCCACAGATTAGTTCCACTATTTAATATAATTATATAGGTCTCAACAAACATTGGACAATTGTAGAAACAACTTTTGGGCATTGTTGCATAAATTCCTCAGAATACCTCTTGTGGGCTTCTGTTTTTGTTGGGAAGGAGAAAGGGACTTCTAGAATGGCAAAATAGGCTGATGCACACAATTGTATTTGGTAATGCCCAGAAACCCCAAATAGGATTGTGGTTCCATTATGCCAAATACTGTACAAACATGATCCATGCTTCAGAGTTCATGCTAATTTTAAGACCAGTTACATTTTCTACTGGAGGATGACAAAGGTAGTAGTGATAGAGGCACATGGTTATATGGTGATGCGCAACTCGATGGTTCAGAGTAATCTAATTCTTAGCAAAATGGCAAATTCAAATAGACCTCAGGGTAGAAAGGGTCTGGAGGAGAGATTTCAAGGAGTAGATTACCAATGGCTTAATGAACTTGTTCATGAAGAACATCCCATGCTTGAGGGGTGACCTAGAGGCAAGTGGGAGGTCTCTGTGGAAGAAGAGGACAAATAAGTTCTTGAGCCTGGTA